CGCACTACTGGCACTCTTGCCTGGGTGACAGAGTGAGACCTTGTATCAAAAATAAATAAGTAGGCCAGGCGCCGTGGCCCATGCCTGTAATCCCAGCACTTTGGGAAGCCGAGGCGGGGGGATCATGAGGTCAAGAGATTGAGACCATCCTGGCCAACATGGTGAAACCCCATCTTTACCAACAGTACAAAAAGTTAGCCGGGCGTGGTGGTGCGTGCCTGTAGTTCCATCTACTAGGGAGGCTGAGGCAGGAGAATTGCTTGAAACCAGAAAATGGAAGTTGCAGTGCCAGGATTGCACCACTGCACTCCAGCCTGATGACAGAGCGAGACTCTGTCTCTAAATGAATAAATAAATAAATAAATAAATAAGCTGTACTTCACCAACATTAATTTGTATACATCAAAGGACTATAAAGAGAATAAAAACAAAACTTACAGAATGAGAGAAAATATTGTCAAATCACACAACCAATAAAGGATTCATATAAGAATATATAAACAACTCAGCAACATACAAACAACCCAATTTAAAAATGGGCAAAGAATTTGAATAGACATTTCTTCAAAGACATACAAATGGACAAAAACACATGAAAAGATAATCAACATCATCAGTCTTCAGGAAAACATAAATCAAAACTACAGGAAGATACCACTTCACCCCTTTAGGATGCCTGTTAAAATGAAAATAAAGCATTTATGAGGCTAGGGAGAAACTGAAACTCTTTTACACTGCCAAAAGAAGTGTAAAATGATGCAATCTCTATGGATTTTGATCCAGCAATTCCACATCTGGGTATATGTCCAAAACAATCAAAAGCAGCAACTCTAACAGACACTTACTTGTATGCGAATGTTAAATCCAGCATTTTTCACAATAGGCAAAAGTTGGAAACAACTGAAATGCCTACCAACAGATAAACAAAATGTAGTATATACATACAATGCAGTATTACTCAGTTATAAAAAGGAATAAAGTTCTGATACATAACACAATTATGGATGAAACTTAACAACATTATGCTAAGTGAAACAAGCCAAAGACAAAAGGATAAATACTGTGTGATTCCATTTACATGAAATCCATAGGTTAGGCAAATTCATAGAAAAAGTTGATTAGAGGTTACAACGAGCTGAGGAAATTGAGAATGCAAAGTTATGCTTAATGATAAGTTTCTGTCTGGGGTGACATTGAAGAAAATAGATAGTGGTGATGGCTGCATAACACCATTAATATAACTAATGACACTGAATTGTACACTTAAAATAGTTAAAATGGTAACTTTTTATGCTTTGTATAGTTTACCACAATTAAAAAAAATTAATAATGTAACACACCAAAACTCTATGAAACCAAATCCAGAAAATCCCATCTTCTTTCATGAATACTTGCTCTTCTTATATTTTTTACTAATTGCCACGAACACTACCTAATCATCTAGGCTTGAAATCAGAGCAATCTCAACTACTCATGCTCATTTATCCTGAGCTGGCAAGTTCTGTCGTTTTTCTCTGAATTTATAAGGAATAATGGAAAAAACAGTTCAGCTAAATGAAAGTCCATGTAGACAAAGAATGAAAAAAATAACATCAGAGAAGTAATGAAGTAGGGTTTTAGAGATTAAAGTGCCTTAAATGAAAGGCTAAGAAGCCTGGACTTGGTTGTGTAGAATAAGGATCGCAAACTTTTTCTGTAAAAGGCCAGACAGTAAATATTTTAGACTTTACAAGTGAAGAGGGAAAATCAAAGATACTCTGTAGGTTTATCTTGTTTACTTAATTTATCTTACTTACTTATATAACAAGAAATATTTTAAAATGTGGGTTTTATTATTATTCAGATAAACTGAGGCAAACAGATCAGGAGACAATTGCCAATGAAAAAAGTTTATTACAATTCCAAAGAGGAGGGGACATGACACGCACCACCAAGGGCCACACTGCAAACTACCAGGGTCAGTCAGGAGACAGTGGAAGTGAGGGGAAAACATAAGTAAGACCCTTTATCATCATTTCCATGGGAAGGAATGGTTGAGGCATGGCAAGGAGACTTGATATTGGCTAGGCTGAATAATTTCAATGGACTCTGGAGTACATGGGTTGTCTCTAGTTAACTAGCACCTGGTCCTGAGGTAATCAGGGCAGAGGATTATTGGCCCAGAGTGGCAGAGGCCAATAAAGGAGGTGGCTGGGGCTATACACTTTGGATTGATTAGTTTGCATAAAAAGGTGTATTTGTAGGTGGGTCCATTACAATCTCTAGGAATTGGCTAACCCTGGCAGGGAGTGGCCTCTCCAGGGACAGCAAGCCCCTGGAGATGTCAAAGCATAAAAAATACAGAAAAATAAAAAGTCATGATTAATAGAAAACAAATTTTTATAAGTGTTATAATTATAAAATTCTAAATATAATAGTAATGGTAACTGAGTACGACTTTTTTTGGGAATACATATCCACTACTGAGAATGACATTCTTTTTGTGGAAATAATATTTTTGGTTAATTGGAGTTTAAAGTACTTTTCCCTATCATCAAAATTGATTGCAAAGTTTCATCTATTAATACTGGTCCCTTAATGAGATTTTACATATTTCATATTTGACAACGTTTTTTCATACAGCAAAAGCTATTTTCCTAAGTTATTCAGTGTCTGTTAAGTGATAGAGGGTGGCCCTTCAAGTAAAGAGAAAAAAAAAAGGTAGTCTCATCCACGAGGTAAAAAGTTTCCAATAAACCTTTACCACTACCCAAGCCATAATGGCTATGGAGTAGAGCAATTCAAGATATTCCTGCTTCCATCTCTGAAAAAAACTTACACTAACCATAGGCTTTAAAAGCCTTATATTTTCACAAACTTTGTAAATCTGCCCAAATATGTCTTTTGCTGCTCCATGTGGAGTTTTACTACTATCAATTAATACAACTTATTAGATTCTACTTTGGATTGTACTGAATTGGTATTTTCTCAACTCCTTTGAGAATTTTCTTCTTCTAGAATTGTTCTACAGGTCATTCACTCAATTCATACTTCACATGGAGCATTTAATTAACAACTGAGCAGTATTATAACATCTGTCAACTCATCAAAAACTAAGCAAACTTACTTTGACTACACTTTCATTTACATATTTTAATTTTGTGAAGGAATTCTCCTGTGGTGAGCTATTCTGTGCTTAATTTTTTATTGCTTCTGACTTTACTTTCAGTAAATTCCAAATACTATGATAAGTGCTTAGTCTGGTGATGTCAGCTTACATTCTTTTGGCATAGCTGTAAATGTTACTGCAAAATAAATACAACCTTTTGCCACCTAATTCAGTAATAAAATAATCCACAGTCCAGCGTGCTTTAAAAGCAAAGCAAAGTCTTTTCTCTTTTGTTCTTTTGACATGGCTATGTAGTAGCATAAAAATAATATAAAATGTCACAGAATGGCAATATGTGTACACTTGAAATATTATTAAGTTATACCTGTGTTACTATACAGTGCATTAAATAGAAGAGCAAAGCAACGAGAACACTACATAAGCTTGCTTTAAGGACTTCAACTCAGCAGCCAGCCGAGGTGGCCCACGCCTGTAATCTCAGCACTTTGGGAGGCCGAGGCAGGCGGATCACGAGGTCAAGAGATTCAGACCATCCTGGCCAACAAGGTGAAACCCCGTTTCTACTAAAAAAAAATTAAAAATCAGCAGGGTGTGGTGGTGCGTGCCTGTAGTCCCAGCTACGAGGGAGGCTGAGGCAGGAGAACTGCTTGAACCCAGGAAGCGGAGGCTGCAGTGAACTGAAATCGCACCACTGCGCTCCAGCCTGGCGCTTGGTGACTGAGTGAGACTGTCAAAAAAAAAAAAAAAAAAAGAACAACTCAATCTGCCATTGTAGCTTGAAAGAAGTCACAGATAATCTGTAAGTCAGTGAGCATTTTCATGCCCCAGTAAAAGTTTACTTGGACACTGAAATTTAAATATCACATAATTTTCAATTGTAGCAAATAGTATTCTTCTTTGACTTGTTTTGATTATTTAAATATGTAAAAACTATTCTTACATTATGCATAAATAGGCATCAGGGTATATTTGGTACATGGTAAGTCATCTGCTAACTCCTGCTATAGGAAATGTAGAACTATTCAATATTATTCATCATATGGAGCATTTCACATTATTAACCTAGTCAGTGTTACATATAATATGGAATAGAACGAGATCAAAGCAGAGAGAAAAATTAGTTATAAGAACACAGTAAATGGAAGCTGAGTAGCTAAACTTATACCTTATCTCTCTAGTATACACTACCCATATAACCTTGGATAAGACAATTTTTCAGATCCTCAATTTACACATCAATTTTGAAGGATAATAATAACCACTTCAAAGCACTTATCTAAAGATTAAATGGGATGATCCATGTAAACTGCTTACAATTGTACTCATCACATAGGAGGTGCTCAATATTAATTAACCATATATATTCTGCTAATGCAAATTAAGTCATAATGACAGCCCTAGACAGTGATAAAACATGAACTGAAAAGGTAAAATTAAACATATCTAGGCACATTTAATAGAACAGAAAAAAAAAAGAAGAAACAGATCCAAATGGATATGAGAATTTTAGTGTGACATATGCACATAAAGCTTATTATTTCACAGGACATCTTTTGGAATGGAAGGCAGGACTTTAAATATAAATTCAAGAATGCCATGTGAATGTCTTTTGAAAAACTAAATTAGACTTCAAGGACAAAACAGTAAAGTGAGAACAACAAACAGAAAAGGGTATAGGTGCTATGTTTAGGGATAGGAGGAAGTAGCAGAGTCAAAAGAGAAGCTAATGGAGGAGCAACGCACACAAAATAATCAGTAAAGCAATTCCAATCAGAATAAATAAATGCTTATGAGTGTAAAAGACTGAAAGAAAGTCATCCAAGATAATCATATTTAAATGCAATGTAATGATTTAGTAAGAAATCACTATTTAGCAAAAAAATCTACTTACTGATACAGCTATCATGGTACTATCTGGCCTCCATTCAGCTTGCTTGTAGGATCCAAACTGAGTAGATGATTTTGCAGGCTCCTTGTAGGTTACAATTAACACACTAGGCTGGAAGAAAACCATTGTATATTTTTATCAGTATCTCATAAAAATATATAAAAATAAAATTTAAGATAATGTATAATTATTCAAAGTACTTTTAGAGTAAAATAGAAGACAACATTAATAATAAACCATGAGCTTTCAACATTCCGAGCATATCAACCAAAAGTGCCAAAAACAAGGACCTAAACCTAGGCCTATATCTATTAAAGAAAGTGAATTAATAATCATCCCAAACAGAAAGAACTAAAACTGAATGTGTTCACAGGTGAAGTCCACCAAACATTTAAGGGAGAACTTATACCAATTCTTTACAAAGGCTTCCACAAAATAGAAGCAGAAGGAGTACTTCCTAATTTTGAATTTCTCATTCCCTTAATACCAGAATCAGACAAAGATATTACATGAAAAGAAAACTACAGATTAGCATCTCTTATGAATACAGATATAAAACCTCTCAATAAAATATTAGCAAATTAAATCCAACAACGTACAGAAAGAATACCATAACTAAGTAAAATATATCCAAAATATGTAAGGCTGGTTCAAAATTCAAAAATCAATTAATATAACCCATCACATCAACAGGCTAGAGAAAAATCATATTATTATTTCAATAAGTGCAGAAAAAGCACTTAACAAATCTAATGCGCGTGATAAAAATGCTGAACAAGGCCGGGCGCAGTGGCTCACGCTTGTAATCCCAGCACTTTCCGAGGCTGAGGTGGGCGGATCACCTGAGGTCTGGAGTTTGCAACCAGCCCAGCCAACAGGGTGAAACCCTGTCTCTAGTAAAAATACAAAAATTAGCCAGATGTGATGCCAACTGTTCGGGGGAATTGTTTGAATCCGGTAAGCAGATGTTGCAGTAAACCGAGATCACGCCACTGCACTTCAGTCTGGGTGACTGAGCAAGACTCCATCTCAAAAGCAAACAAAAACCACACACAAACAAAAAAACACCTGCTGAGCAAACTACAGAACAACACTCATTTATGATTCAAAAAAAACCTCTCAGTAATAGAAAGAAATTTTTTCAACTCGATAAAGAACATCTACAAGAAACCTACAGCTCAAAGCTTTTCTACTAAGATCAGGAACAAGACAAGGATGTCTCCAATCACTGCAGCTTTTCAATGGAGTGGTGGAAGTCTCAGCTAATTCAATAAGACAACAAAAATAAATAAAGGGTAAAGAGACTGGGAAGGAATAAATAAAACTGTCTTTACTCATAGATAACATGATCATCTATGTAGAAAATTTGAAAGAGTTGACCCAAAAACCCTCCTAGAATAATCGACTATAGGAAGTTACAGGATCATTAATATACAAAAGATTAATATAAAAAAGTCAATAAATTTTCTACACACCAGCAATAAAAAAGTAGAATTTGTCATTATAAACACATTTGCAAACCAGGAGCAGTGGCTCATGCCTGTAATCCCTACACTATGGGAGGCTAAGATGGACAGATCACTTGAAGTCAGCATTCAAGACCAGCCTGGCCAACATAGTAAAACCGCATCTCTACTAAAAATACAAATTATTAGCCAGGTGTGGTGATGCACACCTGTGGTCCCAGCTACTCAGGAGGCTGAGGCAGGAGAGCTGCTTGAACCCGGGAGGTGTAGGTTGCAGTGAGCTGAGACTGCGCTGCTGCACTCCAGCCTAAACAACAAAGTGAGACTCTGTCTCAAAAACAAAAACAAAAACAAGGCTGGGCACAGTGGTTCACACCTGTAATCCCAGCCCTTTGGGAGGCCAAAGCGGGTAAATCACCTCAGGTCAAGAGTTCAAGACCAGCCTGGCCAACATGATGAATTCCCGTCTCTACTAAAAAATTGCAAGAATTAGCTGGGCATGGTGGTGGGCACCTGTAATCCCAGCTACTCGGGAGGCTGAGGCAGGAACCCAGGAGGCGGAGGTTGCAATGAGCTGAGACCATGCCATTGCACTTCAGCCTGGGCAGCAAGAGCAAGACTCCATCTCCAAAAAAAACAAAAACAAAAAATACATATTTGCAGCCTGGGCAACATGGTGAAACCTTGTCTCTACAAACAAAACAATACAAAAATTATCTGGATGTGATGGCACACACCTCTACTCCCAGCTACTCAGGAGGCTGAAGTGGGACAATGCTTGAGTCTGGGAGGCAGAGGTTGCAGTGAGCTGAGATCACATTACTGCACTCCAGACTGAGTGACAGAGTAAGATGCTGTCTCAAAAACATAAAAAAATTAACAAGAATTTTTAAGAAACCATGTAATAGAATGTATGTATCTACACAAAAAATTTATAAAACACTAATGAACGGCATCAAAAAAGAGCTAAATAAATGAAGACAGGCTAGGCACAGTGGCTCATGCCTGTAATCGCAGCATTTGGGAGGCTGAGACAGGTGGATCATGAGGTCAGGAGTTCGAGACCAGCCTGGCCAACATAGTGAAATCACATCTTTACTAAAAATATGAAAATTAGCAGGACATGGCGGTATACACCTGTAGTCCCAGCTACTGGGGAGGTTGAAGCAGGAGAATCGCTTGAACCTGGGAGGCAGAGGTTGCAGTGAGCACAGCGAGACTGCACCATTGTAGTCCAGGCTGGGTGACAGAGTGAAACTGTCTCAAAAAAACAATAAAAATAAATGAAGACATGTAATGAATACAAAGACTCAATACTGTCAATATGTCAGTTTTTCCCAACCTGATATACAGATTTAATACAATCTCAATCAAATTCCAAGCAATTTATTTTCTGAATGCCAACAAACTCACTCTAAAGTTGACAGAGAGGCAAAAGAGCAAGACTAACAACTTAATGGTAGAGAAGACCATGTTGGAAATCTGGCACTATCTGACTTCAAGACTTAATATAAAGCTAAAGTAGTCAAGAAAGTATAGTATTAACAAAATAATAAACAAGTCAATCAATGGAACATAATAGAGGAGCCTAGAAATAGACACACAAAAATATATGCCAACTGATCTTTAACAGAGGAGAGAAGGCAGTACAGAGAAAAGACAGTCTATGGAATGAATAGCATTCAAACACTGGATGTCAACATTTCACAAAAATAAACACCTGATGAACATAGATGCAAAGTCCTCAACAAAGTATCTGCAAACCAAATTCAACAGAATTCACCATGTTCAAGTAGGAGTGATCCCAGGAATGCAAGGATGGTTCAACAAAGACAAATAAATAAATGTGATACATCACATTAACAGAATAAAAGGCAAAAACCCTATGATCATTTCAGTAGGCACAAAAAGCATTTAACGAAATTCAACATCTATTCTTGACAACTTTCAAAAAATTAAGAATACAAAGAATGTAACTCAACACAATAGAAGCCACATATAACAAATCCATATTTTAACACTGTACCAAATAACAAAAAGTTGAAATTTTTTCCACTAAGATCTGGAATAAGATAAGCATACTACCTTTCACCACTTTTATTAAACATAGTATTGGAAATCCTGGCCAGAGCAATTAGGAAAAAAAAAAAAAGTATAAAAAGCATCCAGCTGGGCACAGTGGCTCACGCATGTAATCCCAGCACTTTGGGAGGCTAATGTGGGTGGATCACAACGTCAGGAGATGGAGACCATCCTGGCTAACATGGTGAAACCCCATCTCTACTAAAATCACAAAAAATTAGCCAGGCATGATGGCACATGCCTGTAGTCCCAGATAGTTGGCAGGAGAATCACTTGAATCTGGGACGCGGAGTTTTCAGTGAGCCAAGATCGTGCCACTGCACTCCAGACTGGGTGACAGAGCAAGACTCTGCCCCACCCCCCAGAAAAAAAACAAAAACAAAACAAAACAAAACAAAAACAAAATCCAAATTAATGGGAAAGAGGAAGTCAAATTAGCCCGATTTGCAGGTAACACAATCTTACATACAGAAAAACCCTAAAGATCCCACCAAAAAAAGTGTTAGAACAAAATAATTCAGTAAAGTTGTAGAATACAAAATCAACATAAAAAAACAGTAATATCTCTATACACTAATAGTGAATTAGCTCAAAAAAGAAATCAACAAAACAATCCCATTTACAATAGCTATAAAATTACCAAGGAATACATTTAATTAAAGAAATAAAATATACCTACAATGAAAACTATAAAACAGTAATGAAATGAAGAAAACACCAATACATGAAAAGGTATCCCATGTTCATAGATTGGAAGAATTAATACTGTTAAATGATCCAAAGTGATCTACAGATTCAATGCAATCCCTACCAAAATACCAGTGACATGCCTCATAGCAGTGGAAAAACAAGCCTAAAATTCATATGGAACCACAGAAGACATCTAACAGCCAAAGTGATCTTGGGTAAAAAGAACAAAATTGGTGGAATTACACTACCTGACTTCAAAGTATTTTATAAAGCTATATTAACCAAAAAACACCATGGTACTGACACTAAAAGCAAATAAGCCAATCTCAAAATAGAGAGTCCAGAAATAAATCCATGCTTTTACAGCCAACTGATTTTCAAAGCAGGTGCCAAGAGCACATACTGGAGAAAGGATAACCTAATAAATAGTGCTGGGAAATCTGGATGGCCACATAAAAAAGAATAAAATTAGACCTTTATCTCACTATACAGAAAATTTAATTCAAAATAGATTAAAGAGGCTAGGTGCAGTGGCTCACACCTGTAATCCCAGCACTTTAGCAGGCTGAGGTGGGCAGATCACCTGAGGTCCAGAGTTCAAGACCAACCTGGCCAACAAGGCAAAATCCCACCTCTCCTA